ACATTAGGTGTCACCCATTTACTGTAATTTGTAGTAAAGATATGAATAAATAAGAATAAATAAAAGAGAAAGATGTATGATTTAACAAGATCATCAGATGTTGTAATTTAATTCGCTAGCAAAGTATGTTACAGTACAGTTCATAGGTCACTCATAGAACCATAGCAGCATATGTAGCGTTTTATACTTATTGCACTGTGTGAGGCAAATTGGGGAATAACATCGAATCAAATTGTTAAAAATCCTGAGGCGAACCTAATAGATTTTGAGCACTAAATAACGGTGGAGTTATTCCTTATATTAGGTGATCATATATATGCATTTACATGTAGTGCATCACAAACTAAACATTTTCTCTCATTTTAAATAAATCTATTTACGGTCATGACAGGGGAAAGAGAGTTTAGGGCCAATAGGGACGTTTTAAAACTTATCTGAGGCAAATTCAAAAATAGCAACGAGCAATTAAATGAGCGACGGGGCAATTAAAAAATATGACTAGTCAAATTTTCAAAACGACGAGCGACAAGGCAAAGCTCGCTTGCATTAACCTTGCATGTCTGATTCTAACTATTTTGATTTAAGTATCAAATTCTGTAATGATTCCATAGATCAATCTTGACAAATTATGTCGTACATTTGATTATTGTTAATCAATTATAATTAAGATAGTATTACTTAGACAACAACTTCTTCCATTTTTTGGAGATACATAATGTTAATAGACTAGATGCGAGTAGAAAAAATCTTGATTTACGCCATTAAATATTCAAAATTCAGTCAAAGCGATGTTATATTTGAAATCTACATGTAAAAGTACATCTAGAAATATGGTTTCGAAAATTGTTTATCAAGTTTGAAAATTTAATTAATTTTGAAAGTGTGACTTCTAGTTCGGGTTGATTCTCCATAGAGCCCATGTTACAAAATCACAAAAAGTGAAATATCTTTTCTTGTATTGGTCAGGTAACATTTTTATTTACTGGACATATTTTGATTTGCATAACTATTAGATACATACGGGTTATATGAAAATTGAACCACTAAAACAGATGTTATTTAAGTTAAAGGGAACTTTCTACTATACCCGCCATGCTATCTGACCCGAACGAGCTACCTGGTGGTGAAACTGGTAACTACCTACTCGCATCTGACTCATTGTGCTGTTTCCCACTTCCTAATCGTTAAACCTCTATGTCTCTACACGTCTAAATGTTTCCAGTAACAAGTCAACGTCATTAACCGCAATCTTTTGAACACGTCTAAAGAGTTTAATCTAAAAAATATTATTCGGTCAATTGCTACTTATTTAAGCTCTTCTAACTTTTGATTTTCGCACATATTGTGAATGCTTTCCTTATAAATCGATGTATTCATTGAATACAAGTCAGGCAAGTGATTTTCAGGCAAAAATATGTATAACACTGACAGAATTGCTCATTTCCCGATATAACAAGACTATAGCATACGATTCGTGCAAATAACACGTTTACGGATACCTGAAGTTAAGATATATAGTATGGAAAGCAATATAAATTACTTACTTTTACATAAAGTCAAGTGACAGCAATTTCATGACCAAATTTATCAACCTACCTCTCAAATTTTCCAAAAAACACGACTAAAGTGTTTAAAAAAACACGACCGGGCCTATTTGCACTGTTAACTCTTGGTCACCGTGCCTATATGGACTTAAAATTTCAATATTTTCATTAACTATTGACCAATTCTAATGAAATAGGCCTATGGCTCAAAACACTGAATATTAGATCTTTTGATTTTTGTAAGATATTTATATAAAGCCTAATGAAGAGCTTCTCAGAATTTGGGAGTTCTCAGAGTTTCAACTTGAATGGTTAAAACTGCTTCAAAATGCAGGTCATTGAAAATGTAAAATGTGTTTTTGCTCAAATAGTGCCCCATTTGTAATATGGTATGGCTTATTATATCTCTCACTGAAAGCATCATGATCATACAATGTGTTTCAGCAATTTCCGTGCATCACATTTGTAACATTTTGCACAATATCTAATTTTAGGCATGTCTGTTTAAGTCTTTTAATTTCTTCAAAATTCAAGACTGGGAATAAATCATGGCATCGACAAAACCTTTAGACTTTTATCTACAGGATGTGAAAATATGGGAAAATCTGATTTTATTAACAAACCATGATTTCCATTTTTCTCAAAACGTTTTTTTACGCATGAAGGAACGCCCCGCGGTACGTTTACAAAATGTTCACAAAAAGTACATTTTAGATAGACACAATTTAGTATTTGGTAACATAACACGAGTGTATTCATATTTTGATTTTCAGGATTTGTCCTACCCCGGCGATTTTATATAATTGATTCAAAGTGTTTTAAGTATCATAAAATGGTTTCTTGATAATGATTTCGAAAAATGTACAATTTTATTACATGGGTGGGGAAACGTGAATTGAAAGTAATTAAAATTGAAATAGTAAAAAATATGCCAATCTTGTAAGAATATAATATCAAATAATTACCATTAGTTTTGTTATAACTCCAACTTCCATAGTGCTAATCATTGCCCAAGCTAAATCCAACTGATAATCTTATAACTGTAGGCCTATCAAACCGCATCATTTATTATTCATTTTGTGTATTCATATACATAATAATGTATATAAACATTTTCAATTTAATGTTGATAGTATTGGTTATCAATATTTTCAATTTTTGTGTATCGTATTATTCAATGTATCGTAATGACTTCAGTCTGCATTCTGATACTCATAGCATCTCTCTCTGTTGCATCGCAGGATCCAGAAGGATAGAGAGGGAGAGGGCGTGGATTACCACGATGTCAGTCTGAATGAAATGGCCCTTTGTGTTCTCATTCTGGGTTGTGATATTAACTCTTGTTTGGGGGAAGGTGGTGTTGGACACTATTTCTTTCGCGTAAGATCATGGTTTCGGGATATATAGGGTATTTTTCTCATGACAGGTTTACACTTGAAGTTTGCTTTTCTTGCTGGATTTCTTTAATGTTTTTTAGTAATTTCCCTTTAGCGCTTGTGCTTTACTTCCTGCGAAAGCTATATGGATTTTGATATAATACGTTTCAAAATCTAACATGGCTCTCGAAGTGAGTAACTTGTGCTTACATATGCATACACTCCCCTCCATAAGTTTGGCAACCTTTTTCCCCATTGAACTATGTGTTAAAGCCTCTCTACGTTTTAATTTTTATTTACTTAACCGGCGATGAAATAACGTATAATATTGATGGAAACGTAACTTGACTTTATTTCCAATACCTCGAAATTTTCTCAATTTTTTTCCTCAATTACAATAGGTCGAAAATTGATGATAAATTTGATGAATTTTTGAAAATCGTCATTCCCATGTAATCCAATGGGAAATGGAGGGTTCGGGGCAAATCAGAAATCAGGATATCTTTTCAGTAAAAGATTCATGATCAGCACAAAATATTTTTATATAGAAAATTGAATTGTCTAACTTTTTTAAACACTTAGTGTTTAGTTTATTTGATGAATATTAAAGTTACAGCGCTTCAAAGTCATTTTTGAAAATAATTTTTCGCCTCCTGTGTTATTTCAATGGGAGAGGTTTTTTGAAAAACAATTTTGACTTTAAAGCCCTCTAACTTTGTTGAACCTGAAGAAACATATCAATTTTTTGTTAAATAAAGTTAGCAAATTCAATTGCCTGCCTAACTCGTATTTTTTGCAAGGACTCGGATGGATGGATATTCTGTCATATGACTTGCGGCAAACCTACCATTTCTCATTGGTTTACATGGGAATGTCGATTTTCAAAAATTCATCAAATTTATCATCAATTTTCGACCTATTGTAATTGAGGAAATAATTGAGAAAATTTGGAGGTGTTGGAATTAAAGTCAAATTACGTTTCCATCAATAGTATAAGTATTTTCATCGCAGGTTAAGTAAATAAAAATTCAAAGGTAAAGAGGCTTTAACACGTAGTTCAATGGGGGAAAAAAGGTTGCCAAACTTATGGCCGGGGAGTGTATATCCATAGCAGTTCGTTTGGTGCGTTCCTCTGCCTAAATGAATTCCCGGGAATCACTATGAGGCAGAAATCATGGCAAATGCAGGACATGCTCCAATGGAATATGGAGAGTAGCAACCAGACGGGTAACTAGGGCAGGTTTTCCCAGTGCACGCAGGGATATTCAGGCGTTGCATCAGCAAGGACTTTTGGTTGAAAAACGAGGACAAGAATCGGTAACCTGACATATCATCCCCTAGACAACTATCCCCTGGACAACTCATCCCCTTGACAATTCAACCCCTAGAAAACTCATTGCCTTATGGACAACTAATCCACTAGACAACTGCATGATCCCTGGACAACTCATCCCCTAGACAACTCATCCCCTGGACATCTTATCCCCTGGACAGCTCATCCCCTGGACATCTCATCCCTTGGACAACTCATCCCCCGGACAACTCATACCCTAGACAACTCATCCCCTCATCATCTGCCATGCTAAAACGATATTTAGGTTATTTCTATTTAAGTATTTATTATCAATTGTTAATGTTTTTCATTGGAACTATTTCAGGATGAAAAAGGTAGGGCTGCATACATGATGACACCATGGACATCCAGAGGTAGAGCCCATGATGACACATACAGGTCTTTGAACAATGAACGCCAAATTAACTGAACTGTCTACAAAGACTAACTTTGTCGATTAAGATAGAGTGTGATCGGGACAAAACTATGAGTAGTTACACTGTGATTTACTTGAATCTAGGATGAAGCTTCAAATGGTGTGTTTTTAAATGTCTAATTCCCCGGGAAATATCCAATTTTGGAAAATGTTTCGTCTAGTGTAGTCTTCCGATTAAACCCTCATTTTTGCCTTATTTCGATGTCAAGGACTGTATTATATGGCTCAGATATGAAAATAAAAATATATAAGTGCTCAATCTTGCGCAAAAAGCTGGAATAAAGTATTAAAGAAAAATAGTGGAGCGGGCACCTGCTTCACTCCGTATCGTGACGTAATCTCCTAGGTGATGCTTCAATATGGCCGCCGTTTACAAAAATATTCGTGCGATGTTTTTCATCAATTAGCAAGGAAAAAAGCATATATATTTACAGATATTTATTTTGAAATGTACAGCTGTTTACTGAGTAATACGACTCATACCTACCAGTAAGTAGGCCCTCTATGTTTATATCAGCTCTAAAACAATATTTTTACAGTTTGAAATATTTTGCAAAAAATCCGAACTTCTCTGTCTCTGACGATTCTCAGCCTAAGCCGTTCAGTTTGTGACTCGTGTGCCCATATACATGGCCTATTTACCCCGGTCGAAGTGTCATTGATCCCTGTGATGATATTTTCCGCAGAAATACTGCATACACTCTAACCAAAGCAGTTTGGCCCAGTTATCTACTTCTGAAGTCGTAGATAGGGCCAAAGAAGGTCCAATGCAAAAATGGGGGGATTTACTCCGGAAAAAACACACTGGTTTTCAATGTATAATACATGCTGATAAATGAATAAACATCATAAAAGTCACTTACGTGTCTGTTCCTCATATCAAACTTTGTATTTATATTAGGTCTCCATGGCTGGATGAAGGCTAATAAATAAGAACGAAATGCTTAAACGCAGCAAAAATTCTTCTGCAATCTGTTCGTGATCTCGTAGAATACCGAGAAGTCTCGGCTGCATATTTCGTTCAGTACTACATTCGGTCAGTTTAACAAATTGAAAAATCGTAATAATGTACACGATATTTCTTTCAAGTCCAAATACAACACAGATACGTCTGTTCTATAAAGTAATCTACATTTTGATAACAAATCTGCTGACGAAATCGTAATATTTGGAATGTATTGATTCCCGGGAAATGTATATTCGTTCCATGAAAGTTAAAAAATTATCTTATCACACTTATGTTACGTCACATCACGTGACTTTATTCGGTGCGTAGAACTGACGAAAATATTGACGAAATGTTGTGCCCATTTCAACATCAATATAACAAACAAAACACCACATTTACATGTAAGTTATATACTCTTTATTTCAAATAAATACTTGGGTTTACATGGAGCCCGATGTTTTGGTTGAATGGCTAATAGGGAATGAATAATAAGTGATGATTCAGTGACATGTTTTTTCCGGAGTAAATCCCCCCTTTTTTGCATTGGACCTCGTCTGGCCCAGATCTACGACGTCGGGAGTGGATAACTGGGCCAGACGGGTTTGGTTACATACACTCTAGATTCTAATTCATCTGAAATAATCAAATAGGCCTACAAAAGTTTTATTTTAGAATTTGCATTTTTCCATGTAGCCTAATAGGCTATTTTAAAATTTGCATTTTTCCATGTAGCCTAATAGGCTACTGGTAGTGGCTTATTTCTGGGTTTGATAGACTAGAAGTAGTAAAAGGGTAATATCCATCAACTTTGATGCAGGAGGTCATTTCGTCCTGGGGCTATTTCGACTCTGGGCTATTTCAACATTGGCTTATATTTTCACTTTACAAGGTCTGTCATGTTTGTTTTTTGAACATTTTAAAAATAAATCCAAATCTTAAATGGTCAAGGTTTCTCAATGCCTTCTATATAAAGTAAAACTCTTAATTTACAACCAAATTATTTTGAGAACTACAGGACACCTTCTTTTTGAATGGATAATCAAGTGCATATTTCTAACAGTTTAGCCTGTGAAGTGGAACTCATTCATAAGACAGCATAAGAAGAAGAATTTTTCAATACCTATTACTCATTTCTTCAATAGTAAACCAAAACCATCCATTTTTACAATATTCACTGTATTTGATATTCAATGTTTAATTTCAAGGAGAGAAATTATAGATCTTTAGTACACCTTTTCCAAAAAGATAGTTGAACATATTTACAAAACAAACTCTACAGAAGCTTTTGATACAAACTCCTCTACCAACCACTTAAAAGAGTTTTGACCATGGTAAGAACTGTTATCTATAGATATAGAATGAAATATTTAATCAATTTGATATCAGCATTTTGATATCAGTATATAAACAGCTTGGTACTTAAATATTAGGATGATTCCTTAATAAATAAATTAGCTAATGTTTGTTGATTTATAGTAATAAGTGATTGTATATTTACCCGTTTGTTTAGGTGCCATTTGATTTGTTTAGAATTAACAAAATGTGTAAACGAAAATAGTGATCAGCCTCTAAAAATGAATAAGTTAAAGCAAGAGTAAATGTGTCACTATATTTAATATTATTGGACCGAAAACGATCAAAAATAATCCAGTTGCATGTAAGACAGCCATGTGCTAAAAGTTTATATAAGTTTGATACAAATCCTTTTATTTAAAACAAAATTATCATGAAAATTATTATAAAAATATTTTTTCGATTGATAAAATCATCGATTATAAAACTGGAAGTGCGTTCTGTGACATCCGCATGTGAATATTTCAATTATTCAGATTTTGCCGTGGATTCGATTTTAAATGCTTCTAAATGATCTTCTAATGCTCACTGTGATTTCTATTAGTAATGTTTTGACTTCACTGCTTCAAAAAATGAACATTATCACTATTTACTCGACTCGAAAAGTCATTCCCGGTCTGTCGTAATAAAGATGAGCTGAAAGTTGTCGTGAATGCCTTTCAATCCTCAGTCTAAATATCGCTTTTCAAGGTTCAATAGGCGACTTTGAATGGACTTTCATGCATAGTTTGAAAATAGAATCACCAGAGAAGGTTTTAAATCATGAAATCGACTCTAAAGTCTGGAAAAATGTTTTTTAACCAAAATGGGGGTCTAGTAAATTGAATTAAAAGGAATAAGACTTGTAAATCTAGTTCTATTGAAACACACTTGAATATTTATGAGAGATGAAACCTGTCTTAATGAACACTCATTCTCTAGTAAACACCTATATTAAACACCCCTTCTCAACACGCACTCCACTGATTTCTGTATAAGATCCCCTCTCGTAATGAACACCTACCAACAGTGAACACATTTTGTTCCTTCATAGGTGTTTATTACAAACTGGTTCTACATTAGCAATATATTGATTTCACCTTACATGTAATTATTTCTGATATTTCAGAAAATGAATGTAAGAGACTCTCGTCCTAATAGTGCCAAAAGCAGCGCACGTCCTGGCAGCGCTAAAAGTACCAGTTCAAGTGTATCCAATGGACTACCACCACGACGAATCACACGATTTATGAATGGAGATGGTCTGCCATCTGGAGGGGGACTGGGCCAAGCTAAGTCAGACGCTGTCAGTTATGAAGACCTTCTGATAGCCCAGTACCTAGATGAGTTGAAAAAAACACAACCCTACACAAAGAAAGAGTAAGTCAACAAGTTTACAACTTAAATATTCATTTTATTTTATATAATTGTTGTTATGTCATCACTAAAAGTGATGGCATATTTTTATTGTCTGCAACTTTTTTGTAACAGTGGCTGGCGTTCAGAGTTTGACGTCTGTAACTTATGGCTACTGGTGAGATTTTATATGTCAACATGTTCGATGGTATATTGTGGGAATTAGGTGCTTATAAGGGCATATCAGTGTATATATTCAAAATAATTAATAATTTCTACCAGACAATAATACAATATTTTGTTTAGGCACAAGAATCATATACCATGCATGGCATGCTTAATACATCCATTATTCATTCTGAAAATTAAGCTTTGAAATTTGGAATCTCTTCTAAATCTTTGATTGTAACATCAACCATTTTCATAATTTTTTGCATCATTCAAAATATTTCAATTGTGCAAAGTGTGATTGCATTACCACCAGATCAGTACTCAGTACATCTACTGAATGATTGATAAATTTTTAGAATTTGAAAAAACAATATCATTCCTCCTTGTAAGTCTAGACGTTGAATAATTTATTAAGTTTTTGTTTTGTAGGAAACGAGCCCCACAGTCGCCGTACCTACAGCGTCTCCCCCACACAAACATTGTCCCAACCCCCGGGGGCATCATACGTATGGGCCGTTCTTCCCAGTTCCCCAGAAAACGTCCCCAGTCTGCCTCCACGACAAGCAGTAGCACCATGGGCCAACACTCAAAGCCAAAAATTGACGCAAAGTTTATTGCAGACCCCGATAAATGGGATCCATTAACTCCACGATCTGAGAAGTCTGATGTACGTAAAAGACGGCCTCGGCCTGCTAGTGCTCCTTCTTCTAAGTATAACAGGTAGGTCAATAGGAGAGATCCTTATTGGACAAAGAACCATGGCATGTGATTTCATTAACATGGCCCAGATAGAGAGGAGACTCAAAGGAAAGAACTATCGTGCCCGTAGCCTGGATTTGCCAAGGAGGGTTCACTTTTTGAAAAATTTCCAGGGGGCCGGGGAAATTTGACAAATTTGGCCCAAAAATGGCCAAAATCACTTAAAATGTACTCAGAATGATGGAAAACTGCATGATTTTGAAAGAATTTTTGGAGGCTTCACTCGAACCCATCGAACCCCCCCCCACCCCTTGGCTACGGGCCTGACTATGTGCTCTGGTGAAAGAGATGGACAAGCTAGGATTCAAGTGCAAGCTATGATGATGGGGACTGTTTTTTGCTTGTTATTTAGACGTAAACACATCCCCCTTGAAAACTCCTTGCATAGTACAAGTTCACTCTTATATAGTTTCAGACTTGAGTCTCGTTTTTCTAGTGACAATATTGTATGGATCAAGCTGTCAATGTTGGTATCGGATTTTAACAACAATCAAGAGTCTGGTAAAGTGATAAGTAATTAAAATACTTACTTTTATATATTATTATATCCATATGAACAGAATTAATTTTGCATGATATTTACGTGAATAAAGTCTCATTCACATTGTGTTGACATTGACAACTGTTTTTGTTGAGTCTTCGGAGACTTATGGAAACTTTCTCTGGTACTGAATTTTGTCTCATTGGAAAATATGATATCGCCCTTGCATGGTATGTATCATGTTCAATCATGGCCAATATATGATTTCTCAGCCAATATCATGTTACCCTGGTGAATAAAATCTATATCCTATCCCTCTCAGTAAATAATAAATATGGCATGTATATTTCTAGGCCTTATTCAGCCAGTAGCTACGGCTCACAGAGACCAAGTTCAGCCAAACCAAAGAAGATAAAGCCTCTCTATAAAAAACAGCCACATACAATCGTATGCACTGCCTTCAAGAATGGATCTCGGGAAACATTCTACAAATTTGCAGCCCCTGATTTGAAACAAGTAAGACCCTTAGTTGCTATGGAAACATGCAACATCGCAAGCCTTGATACAAGTAAACTGATTGGTATATTTAACCCATATGGTTTGAGCCAAATATGCTATTTTCTTTTCTAGAATCCTTTTTGCTTTTGCTTTTACATGCTATTTTTGTGTATTTAGTCAAGTTTAGACTACATGGAAACAATCATGATTAGCCATTAGGGTGTGGTGGGAGCTAAAAAGAGTGTGGTGCTGTGCCACAGTCTAAAAGCCTGGCGAGAGCCCAGATAACATTTTTTGAAATTGCCATGTATGAGCCCACTAAATGGTGCCATTTTGAACATTTTGGTTTACCTTATCAACTAAAGATGGCAAAAGAGAGCTGAAATTCCTGTTTAAAAACCAGCATGTTGTAACTCATTTCTCATCCTGTTCTTAGCTCCTCGAGATGTGCACCGACAAATTAGGCCTTGGTTCGGCAGCTAGGAGGTGTTTCCTTGATGATGGCAGTGAGGTGTTCCAAGGTGCAGATATTCCCCGGGAGGCAGATGTATACATATCTATGGGGGAGAATTTTAAGAATCCTTATCTTCCAGCAAAACGTAAGTTTGGAATTACTTTCAGATATTTTCAGACTTTTTTGTTCAAAATTTGTGAGATCGAAGGTTGAAATACATTATGGTACTACTATATTCTACTTTTAAAATCTTAGAGATAATTGTAAATGTAAACATGGTCAATAGGCATTAATCCAAGTATATGCTATAGGCCAGGTTGCTATCTGCTTTGTCACTGGCATCGATAGAAGCATCTCGGGGGTTTCATGAGCCGCAGGCAACAGGCGATTTTCACAAGTTGTTTTCACAATATCGCCTGTTGTTTTTAGGGACTTTTCAACTTTTCCATGTTAAATTTATGATTTCCATTAATAGTGCTAGTTGTTTTCATTTATTTAGCCTGTCGTGAGAAATTCTAGTGAAGCCCCTGCGATCTACTATCCCAGCTTGTCATACTTAGACCATCAACAGTCATTGATTTCAAGCATATTAACATGAACAGGATATTAATAAACAGGATATTTCAATATTAACATTACCCTTTGTGTCTTCGTATGCAAATTTCCTCATTGTAAACAACCATATATTATACCTTTATTTTATGTATGCATGTTTCTTTATTGTAAATGACCAATACTCCAGAAGGAGATACGGAGCAATAAAGTACTATCTTATCTTATTAACCTATTGTCTGTCCCCCTCCCTTTACAGAACACTCTCAACTAAAGCATGGTGCCACATGGACATTGAATGGTCTAATTTTGCCTATTGTCTGTCCCCCTCCCTTTACAGAACACTCTCAACTAAAGCATGGTGCCACATGGACATTGAATGGTCTAATTTTGCCTATTGTCTGTCCCCCTCCCTTTACAGAACACTCTCAACTAAAGCATGGTGCCACATGGACAATGAATGGTCTAATTTTGCCTCCTGACCAAAGACGAGGGAAGAAAAAGTCCATCCTGTCAAAACGTTTCCGTAATCTCATAGATAAGAAGAAACACAGGATCGTGATATTTAAGAATGGGACAGCTGGAGAAGGAGTGGAAATTGTGGCAGATTTGGATCGTGTTGATGAGGTAATATGACTTTTACATTTAATTGGCTTAAAATATGTATACTAAATACATATTAGTCCCAAGTTATTTTTTTTATTTATTTCCAATAGTAAGATTAAAGGAATACATTTTCAAGTGGATGAGGACCTGCCCAAACTCACTGCCCGCTTGGCTCGCGTCTTTCACCATTCGATTTTCAGAAAATTTGAAAGTTGTTGCTTTAAGCCATGTATGTATAAGCAGTACCCGCCTTAACCATGGATCCTACAATATGTGTCCAGTGAGCAATCACACGAACTCTACTGAACTACTTTAATGTTTGAGTCCACCACAATATAATCCTGGAGAGCTGCTCTGAATAAATTGATGTACATAGTACAGTAATGTTTTTGACTAACCTTGCCCCCTGCCATTGTCCCCTTATTAGCTATGATGAGTACTGTACATGTAAATTATTTATTTGTTTCAGTTCCTAGTTGCCTGTACAGCCAAGTTAGAGCTGACAAGTTATGCGCGACTCCTTTATGATTGGGAAGGAAATGAAATCTGGGATCTTCACCAAAGTAAGCTGCATTCTCTACTCATTCTTGATACATGTGTATTTATATGATATGTGTACTGATAAGATTCAATATGTGTACTGATATTATGGGAACTGTTATCACATGGATTCTTAATGCGACTACTTATTGGCTTTATATAAGACTATAATTTGTGAATCAAATCAATGGGTGTTTCATATATTTGCACCCCCCCCCCACCTTCAAACTCATACATATTATATATAATATGTATATGCAGGTGTCTCAGACATAAGTGTTATACATCAAAGATCATTCAAAGTTACATGTACTTGATATATATGTTTCAGCTCCAATCCTTGATGACTGTCTCCAGACTTGGACCACACCCATATTAGGTCCCCTGTGGGTCTCCAAAGGGGAGGGTTTTAGTCCCTCAGGGGTCAGACAGTTTCTCACAGGTCTCATTAACTTTACCAAAACAAGACTTCGAGAGACGAAACATTACAAAACACAGTTGCAATACGCTGAAAGTAAAGATGAAGCGCAATTGGCTAAGATTGAAATTCCAGCAATTTTGTCAATGAGTGATGCTGAAGTCAAGGAGGCGCTTGAAATGGTTAGTAAAGCAAAAACAAAAAGTATTTTCCTGAAACTTTCTTAAGTCAGATTAATTTTCAGCACAAATTATATTGTAGATTATATCTCAGAACAGGGATATCTATAAAGAGCTTCAATGTCATTAAAGTTTCATAACAGATATTGCTCTGATTTTAAGCTTCTAACAATTTTATTAATAAACATACTCTCTGCAGAACATTGAATTATAATTCTGGCCATTATGCCCTAGTTTCATTGGGTTTATTGAAAATGTCTATTTGTGACATTACAGTTTAGGTACATATCATTAAGCAGGCTAGAAGCCAGCTTTTGCCAAGGGAGGTCACACTTTTCAAAAAATTACAGGAGGATCACACTTCTGTGGCCCAAAATTATTTGGAAAGTGCTCAGAATGGTGAAAAACTGCATGATTTTGAAAGAAGTTTTGGCCAGGGGGAACCCCCAAACCTTCCCTCTGATTAAAGCCCTGTTAAATGTCGATGTGTTTGTTTAGGTGCAGAAAGACATTGATGACTTTACGGAAGCAAATCACAGACTAAAGGATCAACTCAAAAGGATAACAGACAAAGTTAATGAACAAGAGGTATGTCTCATTATTGTTGAAAATATAGCTAGGGTATCCCACAAAATCGTTGTTTTCATGATGTATAAACTATTGTTAAGAATACAGGGTGTTCAAAACTTGTGGACATATTTATACATAAAGCATTAACTCTTTCTTAACTGACTCAGTACTCCTGTTTATTTATATATCATTAACTCTTTCAGGCCAAAGGTAATGATTACACCCAAACTCATATACGTGAGATAGAGGCTAATGACAGGATTGTGGGCACAAAGGGGTTAAGGCTTAAAGTGTTTGAGAATGGACTTGATGAGGGAGAAACTGTAATATTCTTCAATCTCAGAGATGCTGCGAGAGGGCTGGATGGAAACAGACCAAAAATGATGGAGAGGGTAAGTGATTTGGCGGACCATTTTGACGAGTGAAAAAGACTTTTTGATTACTCTTTTATTCTCAATAAATCTTATGGAGCAAGGTTGGGTTAGCCCGTGGTGTACGTTTAGAGTTCATTGCAAAATTTTCAAGATTTCCATTTAGCTTAAACCAGTTACCTGCTGAGCTGATCAATGTTAAGAATTCAATCCACAAAAAGTCAAAATTCATGAAGAAATGATTGCTTTGAATTCTTAGAACTTTCAATACTGATAAATAGAAATTTCTCTGCCTGTACAGGTCAAATAATTTCATTTGAACATTTGTGTGTTTAAACTTTTTCGATATCATTTCTGCATTTTCATATTTTGCTCCTAATTTTTTAACTATTTTATAATATACAGGGAGACCATAAACTCTTTACATTGTACACAGACATTGAATTGTAATTGTAAAGACTTTATGGACACCCTGTATAATTTTCTCCTTGTGTTCATTTTTCAGCTGCTTGATCAGCTTAGCAACAGAACCAAAAATTCTCCATTGAAGGCCTATGCAAGGAGATTATTTGACAAATATGGTAAAGAAATCACGGACGTGTACCAACTAGAGTATGACCAGGACATCTATATATCACACGGGGAACCATTTAAGAACCCATACAGTGAGTATTTTGAGTGGGGTTTCAGGGTCAGATTGAAATACAGTAAGACTTGTCTAATCCAAATACAACAGCCAAAACCATTTAAGAACCCATACAGTGAGTATTTTGAGTGGGGTTTCAGGGTCAGATTGAAATACAGTAAGACTTGTCTAATCCAAATACAACAGCCAAAAGTGTTCAGATTGACAGGTGTTCTTATTTCAAGCACGATATTCTTGACAGAAAAAGCATTAACATTGAGGTGCTCCGATTTTTTTTTTATCATGTTTTATTCAAAACAATAATGTATATTATAAGAAAATTTCCAAAGGCGACTTTGTTTAACATTATAAGTCGCAAGGTAGGTGCTCCGATAGAGAGGTGTTCAGATATACAGGTTTGCTGTCATGTCATGTCATACTAGATTTAACTCAGTATTTTGCATCAATCCTACATGCACCTATAAAAACTACAATTACGGGGATTATAAATTCACTTAAATGAATCATGATTTGACTGTTTCAGCTTTCACCATGCAAGTGACATTTGATAAGACCAATGCTATTGAGATGGACAGTGAGGAAAGAGGCAACTACACAACAGTGTTTAGAGAACAGCTGAACAAAGAAGATGTTGAGGGTGGAAGGGATAAGTAAGAGTTTACCTATATGTTTCCCAAACACAAAGCTAAGTTTGTCACGAATAATATCGTCCATAAATTTTAGATTATTCTCTTTCTATCAATTAGAGTACATGCATTTTACCCGTTAGGTATTTTTGGCACACGTGGTATGCCTATAGAGTATGGAATTGCCCATTTGTCCTTCTGTCCACCTGTCAGTCAGTCTGTTCGTCCTAGACTCTTTAAGACTCAAGTAAACAGGTCTTTTAGTGCTACATACCTCCCAACTACATATCCCAACAAATGAAAATGTGTGTAGTCAAGTAGAGGGAGGGGGGTCACAGCGGCTTGAAGCAAGACTACTTGCCTTAATGTAGACCAGAGTTTCAAGATACATCATATCAGTCTCTGAATAATAGACTTTTCCAATAAATCCTGACACCTTTTTGTGAACCAAGGAAATATTGGCTAGATTTATGATGTCATACTTTACAGGCAGAAATGTTAGTAAACAAAATTGAAAGAAGTTTTTGAAAATTAGCAATATTTTTATCCTATGTTTGCAATGAAATTGTTAAAATGACATCATAACCAATAGATGGCATGATTTACTGGATCGGCCTATTGGTGCCATATAGATCTGCACAATAAAGGAGAGTCTGACTAAGCATATTTTATTTATATTTTGTTTTCAGACCCAACAAGTGGGAATGCACGGTTGGATTCCCCGCCTCCTTCCCCACACGTAATATGTCCGACATTAATGAAGTTGAGCAGGAACATTTCAAACATCTAATAGAAATGTCTGAAGTGGCACAATCAGCTCATTATCTACAGCTAAAGGTGAGAATATTAGAGAAGGGTCAGGTCCGGGGCTGGGTCGGTAAACCACGGTTATTTGCCCCACTGGTCAGGTCGACCCGTCATATCACCCTGACTCGAGTCATGAATGGGTCAGATTTCCCCTATACAATACAGTTATAAAAGCAAAAGTACTTGCTACATCTCTGTCAATTTATGAAACCCACCATTATTAGTATATGACCTGTGACCCAACTCGGGAGGACAAACCTGAAACCCGACCCAAACCAACTCGACCCGCAACCATTCCAACTCTAGAGAATATCCATCCAAAGACAAAGTGACATAAGTTACTTTTCATCAGGGTTGGGCAAACAATGTAAAAGCTTAAGTTTTCAAAGGACCCCTATGAAACTTGAAACAGTGTACAGTAGAACCTGTATATCTGAACACCTGGCTAATCCGCACACCACCCAATCTGAACACTTTTTTTCGGTCCCATTTTTTCCTCCCACTGACTCCCATGTTAAAAAAAACTTGAAATGTGAACACCTCCCAATTTGAACAGTGAACAGTCATATTTGAAATATTCACCTGTCTAATCTGAACACTTTTCATAAAATTTCTGATGTTTCATACAAAATTGCTCAAATATTGTCATGATATCAAAACTTTGGGAAATAATCTTGAATGGTCTCATTCATAATGGGGCTTTCCAGCATGACTATAAATTTTAAAATTTCTGGAATGCCATAAAGCTATGTAAACAAACCATAAATATTAACTGAGAATGTGTTCATATTTCTTCAGAATCCGGAATATTGCGAATGCAAAAACCTTGAAATGTGAACACCTCCTAATCTGAACGCTTTTGTCCGGTCCCAATGGCGTTCGGATTAGACAGGTTTTACTGTAGTTTATTTATCTTTATCTACTCATTTATTCATCTATCAATTCGAGAGGACTTTATCAATGGTACTTATTAAATATTTCATCAAATAATCCTAGATTCTGCATGACATCTATTCGTAATTCGTTGACAACATATTTGAGTCCATTGTAACAATTTCATCAGTAATATATTGTTTTGAAATCTGTTGTTCTTTGTTGTTTGACATTTAAATTATTTACTAAATAGTTGTGTTTATTGTTTGAAAAATGAGTTTCAAGCTATATGTTGGTAAATTATTTATTATATTAAGCTTGATGTTTTTAGTTGTCACTTTTTAACACGCATGTTTTGCAGGATGTATGTACTCACTACCCTAAGAAATCGCAATATACCTATGAAGAAATCGGAATTAAATTGTTTAGTTTTTGTATTATGAATCGTTAGTGGTATGCATATATTAGTTATCAATGAGTATTTATTGTTTCTTCAGCAGTTTTTTTTATATCAACAAGGAATTATATGAGCCCAAAATATTCTAAAATTGAAACAATTTTTGTCAAGATGGCACTCGCTAGAGAGCGCCCGATTTTGCTAGATCTAATTCTGCCTATAACATGTTATAATGCTGATTCCAGGAGGATAAAAGCCTCGTGATGTACCCAGAGATCTCAGTTGGTTACAAGCAGCCTGCCTTATCGACTGAAGTGTGGCCTCCAAATGCACAAGTCTGGTGCATAGGAAAGGTAAATTTTATTTACATGCAATACAAAAGTAAATCTAGAGGTTAAGATCATAGAGTGGAACACCTCAATAAGTAGAAGTGAAATAAGTCCTGTGAATTGGTGTTAAGTGAACCTCTAATTTGAAAACCTCCCAAGTGTGACAACTCCCAAGTGTAACACCCCCCCAAGTGTAACACAGGCTTGCACAACTTAAGATAGTGAAAAAGTGGAACACCTCAATAAGTGGAACACTTTTCAAAGTCCTGTGAATTGATGTTAAATGAACCTCTAATTTGAAAATTCCCAAGTGTAACACCCCCCAAGTGTGACACAGGTTTTCACAAGTTAAGATATGCATTGAGACATATAGTGAAAGTGGAGCACCTCCATAAGTGGAACACTTTTCAAAGTCCTGTGAATTGGTGTTAAATGAACTGTAATTTGAAAACCTCCCAAGTGTAACAACTCTCAAGTGTAACACCCCCTCCCCCAAGTGAAACACAAGTTTGCAAAAGATGTGCACTGATACATATAGTGGAAGTGGAACACCTCCATAAGTGGAACACTTCAAAATCCTATTTCCTCTTATATTACTTAATGTAAGTGGACCTTTGTAAGTTGAACCCCTTCTGAGTGGAATATTTCAAAGTCTAGTGACCCATTACTTAATGTATATGAACTTCTGTATGTAAGTGGAACAAACACCTCCCAAGTGAAACACTACTTTAAAGTTCTTATGTGGTCACCAGAAGTGGTGACATATTGTTAACTTTTTTGTGGATGGTGTTTGGTAGTTGGTGTTTGGTGTAACAAATATCAGGTGTTGACATTTTGCATGTTAATGCCTTGTACTGTATATATCAATCCTTGTGGTATTTTCAGAGTGGCTACATCTATAGCAAGGCATTCCCTCAGTTGGTACTCTCTGTGTTAGACCAAGAGGTCAGAGTTCAACTGTCCAAGCGTCACAACCAATCAAATAACCAGTATATGACACTAGAGACATATATGATATATATAAAGCCTGTGTTATTTTCAGAGTGGCTACATCTATAGCAAGGCATTCCCTCAGTTGGTTCTCTCAGTGTTAGACCAAGAGGTCAAAGTTCAACTGTCTAAGCGTCACAACCAATCAAACAACCAGTATATGACTCTCGAGCAGCAGATACAAGAGGAAAAACAAGCTAATGAAGGTACAGTTTTGAATTATGAATGTGAACCCAATATAAAGAGATGCATGATTGACAGATACAAGATAGCAAAACATTTTAATCAAAATTAGATTCTGAATTTATTATCAGAATTGTAATCTTGGTAAATTGGAACATTCAGCTATTTCATTTGTGGAAAACATTTTAAGTTTATTCTTCTCAATTTTAAATAATGAATTTTTTTAGAAAATATAGCCTAAAGATGGAATCATTTTCTACTTGTTATATGGTATTCACCCTAGTTGTTACTGCAATCCACATGTCTGTTGTCTCATTTACAGTTTGTATTTTGCTTCCTAGCAAGAAATTACCAACTGTTGAAGAATTTAGTCTAGCTCAGAGTTTTAGTTCTGCACTATAATTTAGTCTAGCTCAGAGTTTTAGTTCTGCACTATAATTTAGTCTAGCTCAGAGTTTTAGTTCTGCACTATAATTGAGTCTAGCTCAGAGTTTTAGTTCTGCACTATAATTTAGTCTAGCTCAGAGTTTTAGTTCTGCACTATAATTAAGTCTAGCTCAGAGTTTAGTTCTGCACTATAATTTAGTCTAGCTCAGAGTTTTAGTTCTGCACTATAATTTAGTCTAGCTCAGAGTTTTAGCTCTGCACTATAACCTATCACCCACCTTTCACATTTTCACATTTTCATATTTTAATCATCCTCAGTTTTGAAACAATTCCAGGGGGATTTATATTTGTCAATTTTGGCCTAAAATCACTTGAGGAAAACCTGACCCCCCCACCTGACACCTGGGTCACCACTAGTGTGTTGCTATATTGCTCACCTGAATAGTATAAGCACTTAAAATTGAATTCGCAAATTTTATACTACAAAAGGTTCTCAATTGTCGTGTAGAGTAATGCAGTATTGTTTAGTGGAGATTAATGTAGGTAACGTAGGTTAGGTTGATCTGTTTGACTAGAATATAGTGATGGTCTAGAAATTGCTCTTGAAACCTGCCAGTTTCTATTCCCGAACTAGGTATAGAACTTACAGCTCACTAATGCTCTATTTGTTTTTAGCTAGTTGTTATCCCTAGTGTAAGAATATTATATGAGATAGTTCTTCTATTCAGAAAAAACTGCTTTTGTCGTTCATATTGTTGCTACCTTTGCTTGCCTTACGACATAAGTTTCTTCTTGAGCTATATATACTTACTATACCTAGTACCTTTTGCCAAAGTACACCCTCAGACCCTAGTAACACGGGGTACCATCGAATAATTTTGGCAACGTACCGGAGAAAGACATTTTACTAAGAAATGGCAATAATTTAGCACAATATATTTTTTAACTAGAGTTCTACTTTGATTTTGACAAAAGTAAGTATTCCATGCAATGGCTATTTCATTCATGAGTTTGTAGGAATTCTGTTGGAACCCAGTTCTGATCAAGTACGAAGTTATTGAAATCGGCGCAGACGGACTTTACTCCGAAAGATGGTTTTTCGATTATAACTTTTCACAACATTTAAGTATAGACTTTTGAAAAAAGTACAGAATAGTCCTTATTCTTTTGAATAATTCTGTTATTTCTGATTCACACGACTCTGATTTGTTTAATTAAAAAAAAAGTTTTAAAAATATTACTTAGGAACGTAACCGGAGCAGATCAGATGAATTATTTAATCAAAAAAAATAAAATATATGATTTAAAGCACATATACTAATTTAAAAACATACGGGATTGTTCGAATGCGTATTTATTACATTTTATTTAAAGAAAAAAATTATCCATTGTGAAAAATTAAATTTGGTTTTTACCATGCATAAGTGCACTTACCTTAGAGAGGCTATCAAACATAGAACAATCATTTGGAGAATGAAGTGATTAAATGTAGTAAGCAAATAATTCCATTTGATTTCACCCATTGTATTTGTTCAGCGAACTATTAGAACCCACCCTGTTATACTAATTTCGTATATATATACTGTTTATACATACATGTATTATACTTCTAAGACAACTTCTCTTTTTCAGGGGAAATAAAAGCATTTAAATGCTAGATTATTAAAAAAGTTAGGATACAACGAACTGTATATAGCGTAGGTGTGTTAAGTACTTGTCATGTGCTCGACCAAATCGAATCAACATATGCTTTCTGAAATTCTTCACCTAACCATATAAACCATATAAACGTTAGATGTTTGAGTGAGTGCCCGTTTATTGTTTTATGCAAAACCAGTTGTTATCCATCTTTGATAGATGCATTGATTTTCCTGTAAGTTAAGGGTAATAAATGCTCATTTTAACATTCATATATGTTTGTAAATAATATATATGCTTTAAATCATATATTTTATTTTTTTAAATTATATAATTCAACTGATCTGCTCCGGTTACGTTCCCAGCTCCGGTTACGTTCCTAAGTAATATTTTTAAAACTCTTTTTTAAATTAAACAAATCAGAGTCGTGTGAATCAGAAATAACAGAATTATTCAATAGTATAAGGCCTATTCTGTACTTTTTTCAAAAGTCTATACTTAAATGTTGTAAAAAGTTATAATCGAAAAACCATCTTTCGGAGTAAAGTCCGACTGCGCCGATTTCAATAACTTCGTACTTGATCAGAACTGGGTTCCAACAGAATTCCTACAAACTCATGAATGAAATAGCCATTGCATGGAATACTTACTTTTGTCAAAATCAAAGTAGAACTCTAGTTAAAAAATATATTGTGCTAAATTATTGCCATTTCTTAGTAAAATGTCGTTCTCCGGTACGTTGCCAAAATTATTCGATGGTACCCCGGAGTAAGCAGTATTTTGCTTTCTCAGTATAGTGAACAAGTTCAAAGGATACATTGAATGATAAGAATGATACATTTGAAGGTGAAGATGTTGATGATAAAGAAAGGAAGATGGCAATGATGGAGGGTGTTGTAGAACTTTGGAAAGAAGAGGCGGACAAAAATTGTGTTCAGGAAGATTCAGATGTCAATCTTGGTCAAGAAGATTCAGATAAAAATCGTGGTCAGTGACCAATTTTTGAGTTAAAGGTCGTCACTCTACTATACCTAACCCCTAGAAATGCATAAGATACTCTGTTTGTCTAATTGCATTGTTTAGTATATTTTTGAAAGTACCTTATTAACATCTAACTTTCAACCGATGAACCATTAATAAGGAACAGAAAAATAAAAACAAATAACATAATTATTACTAATAAGTCAAATGGGTTGCTTATGAACACCAAATGCAAGGTATAGTAGAGTGTCATACCCTGTCCCCAATATTGCATTTTAACAATTTCACTTGAAGTGGCAATAAATAGCAGTGATTGTCAAAAGCATTTGAAAGATGTCAGTCAATACCATGAAAGAAGTCAGTCAATACCATGAAAGAAGTCAGTCAATACCATAGGCCAGGGTGACCTACTTTCCTAATTTTAGGTTTAAAATTGTATTTCCTCATAGTCATAACACATAATGTGGTATGTTAGCCAATAATGCGGCATGTTACAACATAATGCAGCATGTTAGCACACAATGTGGCACATAATGTTAGCACATAATGCAGCATGTAAACACATAATACAGCATGTAAACACATAATACAGCGTGTTAGCACATAATTCGGCATGTAAGCACATAATGCAGCATGTATGCACATAATGCAGCATGTTAGCACATAATGCATCGTGTTAGCCCATAAAGTACATAGGTGTATTGTCGGACAAAGGGCATTGTTGAATGATCTTCAATATTGTTTTTGTTTTATTTGGTTTCTTTATTGAAACTTCTCGTTAAGACACATCGATTTATGGACACATTGAAATATGTTGTTAAAGGTCTAACAATGCCCCTGATTTTCACCTGATGCCAATGGTTTGTCCAGGAATGCCCCGTGGTCGAGAATGCCCCTATGTACTCTAATAAATGTTTACCACAGTGGTTTTCCCAACATTACAACAATTTTTATTTATAAGTAGGAGATGATGAAGACGATGAAGAGAGAAAGAAGAATATGGTGGAGGGTTTTGCTGTTGGTGTGCAGAAGAAAATGGCTGGGGATCCTTGCCAAGAATGGGGTTTTACAGCTGAGGGCTACATATACTCCAAGGTACAGTTAAACTTAAATATTTGAGTGTATGGGATACATTTACTCCAAGGTACAGTTAAACTAAATATTTGAATGTACGGGATATATATACTCCAAGATACAGTTAAACTTAAATATTTGAATATAGAGGATACATATACTCAAAGATACAGTTAAACTGAATATTTGAATATATGGGATACATAATACTTAAAGGTACAGTTAAACTGAATATTTGAATATATTGGATACATATTCTCAAAGGTACAGTTAAACTAAATATTTGAATATATGGGATACATATACTCAAAGGTACAGTTAAACTAAATATTTGAATATATGGGATACATATACTCCAAAGTACAGCTAAACTTAAATATTTGAATGTATAGGCTACATACATACTCAAAGGTACAGCTAAACTTAAATATTTGAGTGTATGGGATACATATACTCCAAGATACAGTTAAACTTAAATATTTGAATGTATGGGATACATATACTCAAAGGTACAGTTAAACTTAAATATTTGAATGTATGGGATACATATACTCCAAGGTACAGCTAAACTTAAATATTTGAATGTATAGGCTACATATACTCAAAGGTACGGCTAAACTTAAATATTTGAGTGTATGGGATACATATACTCCAAGGTACAGCTAAACTTAAATATTTGAATGTATAGGCTACATATACTCAAAGGTACAGCTAAACTTAAAAAGTTGAGTGTATGGGATACATATACTCCAAGGTACAGCTAAACTTAAATATTTGAATGTATAGGCTAAATATACTCAAAGGTACAGCTAAACTTAAAAAGTTGAGTGTATGGGATACAGAAACATATACTCAAAGGTACAGTTAAACTGAATATTTGAATATATTGGATACATATACTCCAAGATACAGTTAAACTTAAATATTTGAATATATGGGATACATATACTCAAAGGTACAGTTAAACTGAATATTTGAATGTATAGGCTACATATACTCAAAGGTACAGCTAAACTTAAATATTTGAGTGTATGGGATACATATACTCCAAGGTACAGTTAAACTTAAATATTTTAATGTATGGGATACATATACTCCAAGGTACAGTTAAACTTAGATATTTGAATATATGGCATACATATACTCCAAGGTACAGTTAAACTTAAGATATCTGAACAAATGAGTTGCATACCTTCTATTGTACAGTAAAACTTCCATGTTTGAACAGCTAAATACTAAATAGATACATAAAGTCAGTGTGAACAGCTAAAGGCTGTATGGTGTTTTTTTTATTATTTTTAATTCTATTATTCATCTATTTATAATATTTTTTAAGGGTCATCCAGAGTTGGTGTTTACATATCTCGGTGGTTGTTATGGTGATGATGAGTCAATAGCTAAAAATGAAATAGATGGCGTTCCATCAGGTCACAGATATTTCATAGCAGTCTGTGACAAACTCTCTGGAAAACATGCCAAAAACCAAAGGTATGTGTATTATGTATCATTTTAAAGCTATAAATTCATATACGAGGGTCGTTCAATAAATACTGAGACAAATGCACTCAGTTTTAGGTTCTAGAGGAATCAGGGATTGTTGCAAATGTGTAGTATGTATTGAAGTTTATCTACGCAGTTTGGTAACAGTTGCATACATGCGTTTGAATATATATAATATGATTTATTTGTGCTGATGCCCTTTTAGGGCCAAACATACATCCAACATACAATTTTCATTAACAGTAAAAATAAATGAATAATGAATAATGAAAATGTTAAATGAGTCTGAATCCAGGGTTTTTGAGTTCATTATTGTGCAAAACATGAATGGTGTTCAATGATTTTGTCTCTTGTTTTAGATGGGCAATAAAGCAAGAAAGGATGGACAACATTGGCCAATGGAAGCATTCCCGGCATATGGTGGGTGCAGACTGGAATAAGAAAGCCTACTCTTGGCCTGTGAATGATGATGATACATGGATAGAGGTATGTTCTAGCATTGTTAAGCCAATATTTTGACATGATTAGAATAAAGTATTATAGTTAAGCCATAATTTATGATGGTACTTTTATTGTTAAGCCAATATTTTGACATGATTAGAATAAAGTATTATAGTTAAGCCATAATTTATGATGGTACTTTTATTGTTAAGTCAATATTTTGACATGATTAGAATAAAGTATTATAGTTAAGCCATAATTTATGATGGTACATTTATTGTTAAGCCAATATTTTGATATGATTAGAATAAAGTATTATAGTTAAGCCATAATTTATGATGGTACATTATTGTTAAGCCATTATTTTGATATGATTAGAATAAAGTATTATAGTTAAGCCATAATTTATGATGGTACATTATTGTTAAGCCATTATTTTGACATGATTAGAATAAAGTATTATAGTTAAGCCATAATTTATGATGGTACATTTATTGAGGGAGGCAATATGATAGTTAAAATATTATTTTTTTCACACTTTAACCTCCAAGTCACTTTTTCATTTTTTGTATTGTGCTGCTAGGTGGGTGTATGAGTGGGATCTTGGGCATCACAAAAATTTTGTCATCAAAATTACAGAGAAACCTCTTATCTGTTCAACAACATTTTACAGATTAAAGTAAAGTCAAGCTATCATATTTAAGTCATAATTTTTGATGACTCATTGATAGAGGTTTGTGCACTATTATAATTAAGCCATAGGCCTATATTTTTTCTAATAAGGCACTCGATACTGAACCTACTAATGAAATAGAGGCATTCGATTATTGTTTTTGAGATTTTCTGTTTATATTTGTATTTTTATTTCCAGGGTTTTGATTGGCCAATGGAGGGATTTTTCATACCACAAGTTCCACTAATACGGAAAATGTCTGAAAAGAAAGGCCCAAATGGATGTAAGTCAAAAATCAATTATTTCTTAGCCATATTTTTAAATATAACTAATACGGAAAATGTCTGAAAAGAAAGGCCCAAATGGATGTAAGTCAAAAATCAATTATTTCTTAGCCATATTTTTAAATATAACTAATACGGAAAATGTCTGAAAAGAAAGGCCCAAATGGATGTAAGTCAAAAATCGATTATTTCTAAGCCATATTTTAAAATATAACCTTGCTTGAAGAATTAGACTATGTTATCGAAGTTTGTGTAATGTGATGATGAAAACCCAAATTATTTTTTCTCTAACCAGTAGTCTATTGCGTCAGGTTAATAAAATCTGACAGACAGGTCATCCTATTCATATTAAATATAATTAAACATTTGTACTTAAATCACTATTTGGACTCTTAAAATGTTTGGATTCTCAGGTGTTCACTTATCAGGATTTCTTACCCAATGAGAGATATTGAAATTTGGACCAAAAAGTGTTCACATTTCGAGATGTTCAGATCAAAGAGGTGTTCAGATATTCAGGTTTTACTCATGGCAGGGTTCCCACTAGGCTTTTAGACTCCACTGATTCTCCAGAGTCTAATGTCTTAAAACCCTCTTGCTCCAGAGTCTAATAGCTTTTCCGGGGTCTAAAGTGTTTTTTCGGGAGTCTAATTTTACATATTTGTCTCATTTTTTTGTGGTAAAACTCTTGAGAAAATACATAAAACTGAATACAAACGAGGAATAGGAAGTCAGAAACCTTAAAGTTTTAGAAATAAATATTGGGATTAAAATAGCAAGATAATCTTAAGAAGTATGTTGAAAAGTATACTGATATGATATCTCTGATCTTGCATGGGGGAGAAGTAGTCGCTGTTGTATTATCTGATTGATCATATTTGATTGTGTTATTTCGTGATACTACTTGTGTTTATTTCGTGACATATGCACAAGCGCCATCTTTACTTATATAGTCAGCCATCTTGATGTACATGTATAAAATATTTCAAAGTATAATATAGACATAAAAATCAACATAAAACATTGTTATTGTCGTCATATTATAACAGAACAGTCGCGATATCGCGAAAAAATTAATCACAATACCGCTAAAAATCCGGGGTCTTAAAATTTCCTGTTGAGAACCCTGTATGGGTGTCGAGTATATGGTACTTATATTTCAGTGGTGCCCCTGAGGTTGGCAGTTGTGAAAAATGGCTCAAAAGATTACAGAAATATCACCCCAGTTGTGGGTCCTGACCTCACCAATGTGAGTATAAAGTCTGAATTTACACCTTGTAGTGTAGCATAAGTTGTTCTATATGATTATCACATCCTTTGAATGATCCTTTGAATGACTGTTTCAAGTATGAAATTGATCCTTTTTGATCATTTAAAGGATTTGAAGATTGCTTTTGTTTTTTTGTAAGATTTAGTCTAACGGGACCTTAAATATATCAGTTTATGTTTATTTGAAACTAGTTGCCATTGGCAATGCAGCTGTGAATTCTGAACACTTGTAAATGTCACAATCACCTCAGGCTAAAACTTTTTAACTTCGGTGCAGCTTATTGCATTGTTGAGTTAGTTAAGATGTTGATCTGAAAGATATGCATTGTAGATGACCAAGCCGTTGGGTATTAAGGTATAATGATGCACTGAAACTGAAAGCTTCTACTTTCACCCCATGCAGACTGAGTGTACAGAAAATGCTTGGTTCAAATATAATGAATTCAAAATAAAAAATGACTATTGATTCCGCATGGTGCACTCATATCAACAATAAGTGTTTTTTGCACGCTTAGTTTGTATTAGGTGACTTAACTAACACACATCACTTTTGAGTGACATATTGTTACAGCCATTGTTCACAATGGTGTTCAGTTTCTGTGACAAACTGTTACACTTTTGTAACCATTTACAATAACTTACCAGGTGGTGGCATTTTGTCATGTAATGCAGTGCCCTCTATTTAGATAGTCAAAGTATCAACAACTTGTAAACATATCTGAGTCATTAAGGGTTGAAATTAACATAAATACCCCAAACATGGACTTGGTACTGATCAATATTCTGAAGTAAATGAATGAAATACTTGTAACAATACAAAAATGCAGGGCTGCCTGTTTTTCAAGTCATTTTTGAAATATTTTTGGGGAATGTTACACTTGACAGTTGATGCTTAGACGTATCTGTAAAATGTAATCTACTTTCAGAAATCTTTTCTTAAAACTATGGAATTTTGATGAATTTTATCATCTTGAAATAATTTTAAAATGTTGATTTATTCAACTAATCTTATTTTCTATAAGCCACAGCTGTTAAACCCCTATTAAACATAGCAACCACTTATCTCTAACATCAGAGTGAAAAATATTTGATTTAATCTAATAAATACATTTGATTGATAGAAGTGTCAAAATTCCATGGATAAGAGATCAGATTGTTTATATGACTCGTATTTGCAAAAACATCCCTTTTCCTTGAAATTAACAAATTTAAGCACTCTAAATGAAAGTTCAAAAAATTGAAATTCACAATATTAGAACCGAAATATTAGAACACATTATCCGACTTCCATCCAATTTTGACACATTCACAATAAATTAATCTACTTGCTACTTTATGACGTCTCTGTGTGTGTTTAATCACTACTTCAATTTCAAAATCCATCGTGATTGTAAATTGATGAGGGATATTTTTGTAATGTGAATTTTTTCATGAGGAAAATGTAGTTTTATGTGTCACCATCAATTTTTTCATATGCAGAACCAGTTTCACAATTTGTTCAAAGATAATGGAAAGAAAATTATGGAAGGCATCTGTCTGTGCCATTTGGGCTCCCAATAAATCTTGTCACTGAAATTCAAGGAAAATTTTTACATATTCAAGGGCAGACTAGTGCAGCGATCTGATTTTGGGCATGCTGGGTAAATAAGCAGCCATTTTGAATTTTTCAATAATGAAGCGTGAAAATTATCACAGTGTCTTGTTTAAACCATATTACTCCATTACAGATGATGAAGGACCTCAACAAGACAGCGCTGAATGGTAAACATCCTCATAAGCACAACCATAAAAGGACAAAGTCTAACGAGAATAGCGGGAAGTCGGGTGACGCCTCTGAGGCCCAGATGTGTCTCCACTGCAATGATATGTCTCTACAGCAGCTAGAATTCATGCTGGTAAGGATCTTTTTATAGTTAAGACCTTTTATAGTACCCAGTCCATTTATTTCATGGTGGCAGTTGGCGAATTTCATCAATTGTGGTAGCAAAATCTGCTTCCTTTTTTAGCAATTTTTGGTATATTTAACAGTAAATAATACACTTTTCGCCTCTTGCTGTTTCTAAAGAAGATATCTTGAATATCTTAGCAAGATTTTGGAATAAGCAAAAATTTAGAAACTGTCTAATTAATAATTATGTCTTTGAAACTTTCAGTTCCTGGAGAGATGTACATCTCTGCTTGATCTGTCATTTGCTGCTCGGAGGTTATTCGATGAAACTGGGAAAGAACATTTCACTCTCGGAGAACTACAGCGAGATCAGATTGTGTATGTATTAATTTTATTATTTTAAATTATGTGGTTTTTAAAGTTTCATAAAAATTCTCTCTCTGGAACATGAATTATGTAAGCTTGCATCATTTTTTGAAATTCCAATTATAATTGTGAAATATCAAAAAAATGCATTTGAATAATTTTGATTCGTAGTTGTTTTCAAACATTATTCTGATATTTATTATGTGGCGACTCATGGTTTACAGATATGTATCATGTGGTGAGCCATGGAGTGACCCAAGGATGACAAAGGCTGAGCAGCAACGGCGCTATCTATTGGCAAATTTAGCTGCTGACATTGCGCAAATACGTCAGTTTACTGCATTACGAAACCCAGAGAGTAAGCAAAGATTTTTTACCTTTGTCATGTTATCAGTTTATTTCAAATATATACAGTAAGCTAACTGCAATTTTATGCCAGCATGAATAAAATCATTATATAGTAAATAATACATGTATAATATCATTTTTAAGACTCCTTCCTTCTCGATGGACCCTGGAGAATTACAATGATATATACAGACTAGCTAGCTCCATCAAATCTACAATTTACTCTAATTATTCATACTAATTTCTACAGTTAAGCTAAAGTTTGTGTAATCTGACACTACTGGACTGGCCAGAAGTGTTCATATACCAGGTGTTCACATTGCAGTTTTTTTTACATGAGTCAATGGTAGAATACTTAATTGGAACAGATAAAAAGTGTTCACATTAAGAGGTGTTCAGATTAGAGAGGTGTTTGGATATACAGGTTTTAATGTACACTTTTAATAATTTCTTTACTTTTAAAAAGAATAAATAAAAAAAACTGTATATAATATTTCTGGTTTTCTCAGATCTGGTGTTAGCCGTTGATGGTTCACCAGCTGTTGGGGCAAAGTTGGTTATTATGGAGAGTGTCATTGAAGAAGAAGAGTCAGAAGAGGAAGAAGAAGACCCCGAAGAGAAGAAGAGGGAGGAAGAGAGGAAGAGGCAAATGGAGGAACTCCTTGCAGAACAACAGTGAGTCGATTTAGCTCAAATTACACTATCTATACAGAATCAAACATTGTTTATCAACATATAAAAATCTAATACAGGCAGGCCAGATTGTAGCCAGGGGGTGCAGGGAGTTCGAGCGATCAAAACATTTTTCACCATTTTTGAGCACTTCATGTGAAAATTCAAGCAAAGTTGTCAAATGAGAACTCTGTTGGAATTTTTTGAAAAGTGACGAAAAGCTGGCTACGGGCCTGTGGTAAAAGAGACAAAATACCTTTGAACTTTTTTTCTCATTAAAATTGTCATGGAGACAACACAAAATAGATGATTATATCATGTACTTTTATTATATGCAGTTTTATTTTATATAGAGTATATCATTTTACTTTTTTTTTCTTCATTCCATAATCATCCGCCAAAGTCATTAATATAAGCATGAAACTCAGTCAGTTGATATTGAATTATTTAAGAAATATTAATTAAGATAATTGCAAAAAAGACATGAAAAATACAATCATTTTATAAACATATTGGTAAAAATTTATGAAATTTTAGGACTTCCCATGAGAAAGCTCACCAGAAGTCTGAGCAGCGACTTGATGGCTTAAGGTGGCCATGGGAACGAATTGCAAATGCAAGTTTTGAAGAAAAAGATGAAGATGGTTGCTATACCAATAGGGAGCTTTATGAGAAGTATAAGTGAGTATAAACCTAACAGTTTTGTTCTGATATTTTTCCGGAATTGCCAATTTTAATTTTAATTTATTTTTCCATTTTAGTCAAACAATTTACTTGAAGCAAATATGACAAAGAATGTATGAGTTCTTCTGTTCCTTCATTTTGTGTTACACTGGCCTTGGTGAGTGTTACACAGCAGTTTTAGATGCTTCAAAATGCTTTGTAACAAAGGAATTTTAATGTGTCACACAGGGACAAAATTCCTTATTCCTTCATTTTGTGTTACACTGGCCTTGGTGAGTGTTACACAGCAGTTTTAGATGCTTCAAAATGCTTTGTAACAAAGGAATTTTAATGTGTCACACAGGCACAAAATTCCTTATTACAAAGCTTTCTGTCAAAATTCTTCGCAATAAAGCAACCTGCAGTGTAACACTTGGTGCCCTTTTCATAGATTACCAATTACCAGTTACTAGGCTTAATCTTTCCAATTTATTCAAACTGTTAACTTTGAACAAGCATGACAAAGAATGAGCCAGTGTTCGAGACTAGTATTCAAAAAACAGGATTGCCAAAATTTACCATTTCATATTAATTGCTCAAAAGGCAATTTTTTCCTAATCCATTGCTGAGAATGAAAACTAATTGATGTTATCAACAGGGTTAAACAAAGATAAATTCGCCAACATAATTCTAAAATCTAAATAGAGAGAATTGTTTCATTATACTACCAATAACAATAACTTCCAAAAGCTACCTGAGCAATCAGAAAGGCAGTTTGTAAAACGTGAATGCTGCTGGTTGTCGCAATGTTAGCCATGCTGAGCCCAGGTATAGATGGCGTTGCATTTGCCGTACTGAGCTCAGATGTTGTTTCACCTTGCAATTCAGTTCCATTCAAGACTTTGATAAAAGTACAATGGCTTCTACTTGGATCAAATGTTCCTTTAGGTAATGTGTCCATTAGTTTTTTCTCGCTTTTTTCTAACACTGTCTCCCAGTCCAAAGTTTGGTTAATATAAGCAACATAGAAATTGTTAATGCCGCACCAAAAACCTTTGCATTTACTCTGGACAATACCAAAGATATTGTCAAATGCCTTCCATATAAGATTGATAACATCATCGATACAGTCGCTGTTAATAAAACAGATAAGGCACATCACTTCAATCACCATGGTGTCCTTGAGAACACACGTGCCATTGTGGTACAAATATGGTGGCGAACATTTAGTGATACGTGTCTCTTTATTTTGTATATTGAAACTTGTTTGAATTCCAGCCAATCTGGCAACTGGGGCTATTTCAATATTTAGACTATCATCAGGCCCCTCTTTTAACAGGATTGAATATGTGAAGAAAGCGAGTACGTTACTGTTCTTTTCTACTGTTTTGCCAGTACAGTTTTTATTGTGTCCATTGCAATGTATGCAGTATGTATTTCTCACATAGAAAAAAGTGGCCAATTGGGGATCATATGCTCCTTTCATGCATTGTTGTTTCACCGCGTCATTTCTACACTTGGATTTGCAACTGTTCAGAACATGCAAACATGGGCGAACATCTGTAGGCACAGTTGGCTGAAAAATGGTCATGCATTTACGTGGGTTAATTCCCAGCATTCTCGGCATGAAATTTTCACTTGTTGGATCATAGAAATTCCTTCCAGAACAGTTTACAATGATCTTCCATTGTTGAATGTTTTTCACATCATTGCACAATGCACAGAAATGGCTAGCATAGATGATTCCTGACTCAGGATCAGTGGCAGGCGCTTCATCTATCAGCCCTTTTGGTTTTACACACTTCTGTACAACATCAATGTCTTTGTACCCTGACTTGCATGATTGCTTCACGTAAATGTTCATATTAAAATTAACTGACTTACATACAGAACGTTCATCTATCACCCTGGCTTCATCCATTGAGGCATTTTTCCCACATTCTGTATTGGACTTACACTGTTGCAGTGGACGTCCATCCTTCTCTCGGACTTCAACGATTGAGACATTTTTCTTGCATTCTGTATCGTAATCGGGACAACAATCTTCATAAACATGGCAGGCATTATCGCAAAAACATAACCATAAAGGATCAGTAAATCTATTCATCTCTCCACATTTTCCACGGCAGCTATTCTTCATACAAGGTACATACCTGGATGGTGACGCACATATGTCATCAGATTCCTCTCGTGTTCTTTCTGATATCAACTCAACGTTAACTGATGCTGTGGTGTTCAGAGCATTTGTTGTGTTCTGATAAATGTTCTTGTAGCTTTTACCCACTGTGGCAGCACCATCTTCTATATCCTTCCTCAGTCCCTTAAATGCTGAAGTCTCCCCCATTTCGATCAGAACCCTAGCTGCCAACATCATCATCAATATTTCAGCTAGCATTTTTCTGTTTCGGCTTTCACTTACAGTTTTCAGGCAGTAATGTGATGTTTTTTAAAGGATTTTCTCCAAAGGCCCAGGAACATGTAGAGTATAATTAATGCACGCTCCTATTGGACAAATTTTGATTTTGCATTAATTATACATGTTTCTGGAACTATGGTTCCCTCCTTATTAACGGGTGTGGCTCGTTGTATAATATCAACTTAGTTGAATCATATTTCACCTAAGACAAAGATCAGATGATATCTCTTGTATGTACTTATCATATCAGTTTACTAATGGTATGTATATTACAAATGTTAGACACCAATTAGATGTTTATAAAATAAGGTTTCTATATCTAAGAAGTACAAATTTGTGTTGCGTTTGAACTACTTTTTATAAACAGTTTGACCTACTTTTGAAAAGTCTCCAGAATATGCTGAAAATGAAGTTTTCGAAAGAGTATATCTTCATGTGTGCCAACATTTTATATACTTTTATATGTGTCATTTCAAAGTTTTTGCGAGAACTCCAAATGTATAGCAATTTTTGGATATTTCATATACTTAAAAATACATATAGGTATGATACACCCTTTCACAAATTGTCTATATCTTTGAAGATCTAATAGCAAAGGTATCGCCAAAATAATTCAATGTAGTATAAAACAAATGTATGAATAATGAAGAAATAAATATTTAATAAAAAAATAGATATGTGTTTTGAATATTGGTGGTAACTAAGATTAAAAATTGTCACTATCACTTTCAATTTTCAACAAATAAAGGGTCACGTGACGCGGGGCAGTCAATTTTGATCCATCATAGACCATATCATCATCAAATTGCCGATATTTCAACTTCGTCTTGCGAGGGAATTTGGTGTCAAAATAAAGCTGGTCATGCCCACTTTCTATATATATCAATGAACTATTTACTACGACTACTATATTCATTGAGGAGCTTGTATAGTTAACCAATCAGAGAGACAAATGTTCCATATATGGCAGTTCATTAACATATACAGTGTTTACTACTGCCTTTCACATCATGGCAACACAAGTAGTAACCAATCAAAATGCTGTATTGCCGCGAGTTTTAAGAGTGACATACAAACAACATGGATAGTCTCTGATGATCTGATAGCGATGTCGAAAATAAGTTATTAGTCAAATCACCATTGAAAATGTGCAGATTTTATGTTTTGCTTTGTTTATCTTATGTGTATATAATTTTACAAAAAGTATAATGGTGATGGTCGTCTGGAAAATTTTGAAAACTGAACCCCCCCTTGGCAAATCCTGTCAACGGGCCTGTAATCCATGGCTAAGAGTGAAAATTAATTGTTGTAAGGGTTGATTTAAACAAAGATATATCCGCCAAAAGAATTCTAAAATCCAATTACAGAGAATTGTTTCCTTATTATTACCATTAGTCATAACTTCTAAAAGCTGCCAATCAGCAAGGTAATCAGAAAGGCAGTTTTTAAACCATAAGCGCTGGTAGTTGTTGCCATGTTAGCAACACTGAGCCCATGTATAGATGGCGTTGCATTTGCTGTACTAAGTTCGGGTGTTGTTGTTACAACTTGCAATTCAGTTCCATTCAAGACTTTGATAAAAGTACAATGGCTTCTACTCAGATTAAATGTTCCTTTAGGTAATGTGTCCATTAGTTTTTTCTCGCTTTTTTCTAAAACGGTCTCCCAGTCAAAAGTTTGGTTAATGTAGGCAACATAGAAATTGTTGATGGAGCACAACATACCTCTGCATCCACTCTGGACAATACCAAAGATATTGTCAAATGCCTTCCATATAAGATTGATAACATCATCGATACAATCGCCATTAATAAAACAGATACAGCACATCACTTCAATCACCATGGTTTCCTTGAAAACACACTTGCCATTGTGGTACGAATATGGTGGCGAACATTTGATGATACGTGTCTCTTTATTTTGCATATTGAAACTTGTTTGAATTCCAGCCAATCTGGCAACTGGGACAATTTCAACATTCAGACTCTCATCAGGCCCCTCTTCTAACAATATTGAATAAGAGAAGAAAGAGATAATGTTAATGTTCCTTTCTACTGTTTTGCCAGTGCAGTTTTTATTATGTCCATTGCAATGTATGCAGTATGTATTTCTCATATAGAAAAAAGTGGCCAATTGGGGATCATATGCTCCTTTCATGCATTGTTGTTTCACCGTGTCATTTCTACACCTGGATCTACAACTGTTTAGAACATGCAAACATGGGCGAACATCTGTAGGCACAATTGGCTGAAAAATGGTCATGCATTTACGGGGGTTAATTCCGAGCATTCTGGGCATGAAATTGTCACTTGTTGGATCATAGAAATTCCTTCCAGAACAGTTTACAATGATTTTCCATTGTTGAATGTTTTTCACATCATTGCACAATGCACAGAAATGGTTAGCATAGATGATTCCTGACTGAGGGTCAGTGGCAGGCGTTTCATCTATCAGCCCTTTTGGTTTTACGCACTTCTGTACAACATCAACGTCTTTGTACCCTGACTTGCATGATTGCTTCACGTAAATGTTCATATTAAGATTAATTGACTTACATACAGAACGTTCATCTATCACCCTTGCTTCATCCATTGAGGCATTTTTCCCACATTCTGTATTGGACTTACACTGTTGCAGTGGACGTCCATCCTTCTCTCGGACTTCAACGATTGAGACATTTTTCTTGCATTCTGTATTGTAATCGGGACAACAATCTTCATAAACATAGCAGGCATTATCGCAAAAACATAACCATAAAGGATCAGTAAATCTATTCATCTCTCCACATTTTCCACGGCAGCTATTCTTCATACAAGGTACATACCTGGATGGTAACGCACATATGTCATCAGATTCCTCTCGTGTTCTTTCTGATATCAACTCAACGTTAACTGATGCTGTGGTGTTCAGAGCATTTGTTGTGTTCTGATAAATGTTCTTGTAGCTTTTACCCACTGTGGCAGCAGTATCTTCTATATCCTTCCTCAGTCCCTTAAATGCTGAAGTCTCCCCCATTTCGATCAGAACCCAAGCAGCCAACATCATCATCAATATTTCAGCTAGCATTTTTCTATTTCTGCTTTCACTTGCAGCTTTCAGGCAGTTGTGATGTCTTTTAAAGGATTTTCTCCATAGGCCCAGGAACATGTAGAGTATAATTAATGCACACTCCTATTGGACAAAATTTGATTTTGCATTAATCATACATGTTTCTTGACCTATGGTTATCTCCGTATTAATGGGTGTGGCTCGTTGTATAATGTCAACTTAGTTGAATCATATTTCACCTAAGACAAAGATCAGATGAATATCTTTTGTATGTACTTATCACATCAGTTTACTAATGGTATGTATATTACAAATGTTAGATACCAATTAGATGTTTATAAAATAAGGTTTCCAAGAAATACAATTTTGAATATGAAAGGATATGTAAAGTGCTTTATGTTATGTTTGAACTACTTTTTATAAACAGGTTGACCTTTTTTGAAGTCTCCAAAATATGCTGAAAATGAAGAAATTTTCGAAAGAGTATATCTTCATGTGTGCCAACATTTTATATACTTTAATATGTGTCATTTCAAAGTTTTTGTGAGAACTCCAAATGTATAGCAATTTTTGGATATTTCATATACTTAGAAATACATATAGGTATGATACACCCTTTCACAAATTGTCTATATCTTTGAAGATCTAATAGCAAAGGTATCACCCAAATAATTCAATGTAGTATAAAACAAATGTATGAATAATGAAGAAATAAATATTTAATAAAAAAATAGATATGTGTTTTGAATATTGGTGTTAACTAAGATTAAAAATTGTCACTATCACTTTCATTTTTCAACAAATAAAGGGTCACGTGACGTGGGGCAGTCAATTTTGATCATCATAGACCATATCATCATCAAATTGACGATATTTCAACTTCGTCTTGTGAGGGAATTTGGTGTCAAAATAAAGCTGGTCACGCCCACTTTCTATATTTATCAATGAATTATTTACTACGACTACTATATTCATTCAGGAGCTTGTATAGTTAACCAATCAGAGAGACAAATGTTCCATATATGGCAGTTCATTAACATATTTAGTGTTTACTACTGCCTTTCACATCATGGCAACACAAGTAGTAACCAATCAAAATGCCGTATTGCCGCGAGTTTTAAGAGTGACATACACACAACATGGATAGTCTCTGATGATCTGATCGCGATGTCGAACAATTTCTTCTCGGAATTTGTCCAGATAAATCAGCGATTCTAAATAAAGGTAGGA